CAGCCCTATTTCCTGTCCTCCTCCAACCTATTGCTTTCCATTGTGATTTGCAAACTAACCAGAAGCATAAATAGCATATTTCATTAATATTCCTCATCTGGTTCAATTACTTCCAAGAAGGGAGCTGCTGCCTTCTTTCCAGGGGAGAATCTTTGGTGGTGTTAACTGTACAAATTATCATTCCTGCTATAGGTGGTTATAGTTTATGGACACTTATTAAGCCAGAAAATGCAGAACAGTTCTTCTATTCTCTTTCAGCTGAGTGTTTTTTAAATCAGGCTACGCACAAAGGAACTCTCTGTTGGCTAATTTTGTCCATTTTGAGAGTAATTCTTTATTGTTAGGAACAAAGCCATAGATCATCCAAGACAGTAGTGAAATGAGACTTGGTTGTAGATTTATTTTCATCTCCTGAACTCAAGGGAGGTGAATTATTGGGCCAGAGTTTAGAACACCGATTATCTTAGAATGTTCTGGAAAATGAGGTTGCTGCTTTGTCTCAGGGAAATTGGGAGCTTGAGGAAAGATGACAAGATGCAGGATTTATACTCCACTTGGATGGGCAAATGGGCTTTTGGCCCAGGGTTATACCTTCAGTGTCTGGAAAGGAAGGTGTTGTGTGGCTCAGGACTGACGTGCAGGGCCCAGACTTTGAAGAAGAATCACACATGTGCACACACACACTCATCAAACTGCTTGTGGTCACCAGAGCCAGCCTCAGCGGGAGCTCACTCTCCCCAGCTCCTTTCTCCTACCCTCTTTCTAACCCACCCGGCCCCTGTGGCGTCTTCCCTCTCTAGCCTGTGGAATTCAGGTCCAGTTTTCATTTTCTCCTGACTGCATACAAAGTTATCCCCTCTTTCCCCTCGCCCAGGAGGGGGTGTTGGCAGCCAGATGAAGTGGCAATAATCTTGTAAAAACCCAGACCACGAGATGTGCACACCTTCCCCTTGGTGGTGCCAGCAGCATCGCAGTGCATCAGTTGTTGGGGTAAGAGAGTCCTTGTCTCTTTACAGAGTGCCAAGGTCCTCCCACATGCTTCCTCCCATCAGGGATGGCATGAGGAAAGGAGAAAGAACAGGGCTCTCCCCTTGGTAGTGAGGTATGGGCATGCATTTGTGAGACTCTCAGGAGAAAAGCAGAGAGCCTGCATCAGTGAAGCATCCACTGTGCCCTCCGGGCGAGGACAAGACCATCTGATGGCCAACTCTACTCACCTGGCAGAAATACTTTTCTTTTTGCAGTTTGAGAACTAAATAGAACACTGACTCTGGGAGCCTGGAGACCAGGGTCCTTGTTCCAATTCTCCTGTTAACTGAGTTGAGACAAGTGAATATTCCTCTCTAGCTTTAGTTTCTTCTGGGCAGTAGCAATAGTTTCAGGAACATTAGTAGTAGGAAGAAGAGAAAGGGAAAAAGGAGGAGAAGGAAGAAGAAGAGAGTGGGGAGCAGAAAGGAAGATGGAGATAAAGGAGAAGATATTTTAACATTTATCGATGGCTGTGAACCTATTGCTTTAACATGTGGCCTCTTGGATTAGATGTACAACAATCGTGAGGTTAAATAATTTCATTCTCGACTTCTTTCACCATCCACCTGTGACATTAGCTCTCTGTTGGCTTCTGGAATTGTCAGGCTTTTCCTGATGACTCTCACATAAGCTGTTCCCTCTGCCCAGAGAGCTCGCTCCCCCACGTTTGCATGATTTCCACCATCTCCAGGTCTCAGCTTAAAGGTGACATCTGCAGGTGTAACTTCCGGTCTAGCAGTTATCTGATACATCTGTAATTATTTATTTACGTATTCGTTTTAGAGCTGTCACCCCTCGTCAGCATTAAGCTCCCCGATCAGCAGGGAGAGTCTTTATCTTTGTCTTTTCTCTGACCTTCTTCAATGTCTGTGCCCCAACGGAGGGTGCCCGGTAAGTGACCCATCCAACATCTGCAGAGTGAACCTGTGAGTTCGTCTTGACTAGCAGATGTGTGGAGCTAGGGGTGGAGAGGTGGAGCAGCTTGTGCAAGGTCGCACTCAGACCTGCCCAAGTCCAGGATTGCTCCACCTTCCCCTCTCAGAGGAGGTGGCCAGGGGGAGCGCTGCAGGGGTAGCAGCTGGAAGACCCCTGTTTGCTCCCACTCTGCCTTTCCCTGCAAAACCAGGGGGGCCTCCCCTCCTCGCCCCAGCTCCCACTCCTGCCTCCTCACTGTGCTCCGTGCATTCTAATTCGAGGAGCAGAGCCCTGCCTGGTAGACTGGGAGCGTTGGGATCAGCCATTGCTGTGGTACATACATGGTCTGTGTAGCCCTCACCAGCCGCATGTGTGCTCCATTCTGCTCGCAGTATGATTTCCCTTAACCGGTGAGAACTGTGAGGGAGAAGAACTTAACAGAAATCCACAGGTGTCATGTTTAACTGGACTACAACATTTTGGGTTTTCAGAGCCCAGTGATGGCTGAAAGAAGACATTGTTGTGTCTGGCTTCAGTAGTCTGAACGTCTCTTTTCCAGTAGTCTAACATTTTAAACTAGCCAAATACATACTTACCATTCCATCTGAATTTCATTACACAGTGGTGTTAATAATACCTTACTGTAAATAGAACACTTAACACAGGATGAAAAGCCAAGGTAGTTTCTTTGTAACTATCAAGCTCTGAAATTAACAAGATTTGTTTTTATGCCTTCAATTTTAACTTGCCACTTTTTAATGCCCGAAGGAATGTTTGACATGCAACTTCTTGAAGTGATTATGCTATTCTGCCATACCTTTAATATAGGAATATCAAGCTTCACACACACACACACACACACACACACAAAACACTTGTCATGAGGAATTCTGGTCACATATGTTGTGTGGTCACAAAACCTGGCCTACAACAGGCTTTAAGATGGCACCGTGGACCAGCCTTCCTGACCTTTACATATCCACCTGCTGATTTCTCACCGGGACTCTTGTCCCAGACAGACACATATATGTAACTACCACACAAGTCTGCAAGATCCAGGGGATCTTATGCATGAATACATCCCATCTCATTTAATTCTCTCGGGGGTTCAGGGAAACACAGAGGACACACTTGTTTTAGAGATGAGGAAACTTGAAAGAAAGGGCTGCCTTCCTGGGGCTGTGACTCCCATGCTCCAAGCCTTCTCCTGGAAGAAGCCTTACCAGACAGCCTTGACGTGGCACAGTGGCCAGGACACCCAGGGCCACGTGATGAAGTCTGGGCTTGGGCCCTGGACCGTGAGAGTCCCCTCCTCCTATTCCTGCCACTAATACATGACATGAAGAGGACATCAGAGTGGGAAAAGTAAGCAGTTCTCACCCCAGGGATGAAGACTGGGTCTCCTTCAGCCCTGGTGTCCTGTGCAGATTGTGCAGGGACTGGAAGGGCTTCTGAATGCCTCCTCCAGTCCTTTCAGGTAGGCCAACGAAGCGGAAAGGCAAACAGTGAAAAGGACCATCGGTGTCTCGCACTGCTCTGGTGTTCACTGGGCAGAGGGTGGTGTAGATTTGGCTGGTGAAAAACCTACATCTCCTACCTGATGCTTCAAGTCAGTTTACCGAAGAGCACCCACTGCTTACAGTGATAATGTTTCTGAACATTTTTGAGAGCTTACGCTGTGCCAGGATCTCAATGATTCACACACATCAGCACATATGAGTATCTCTTGCTCTTACTACCTCGACTGTAGCACTTGATCAAGTTGTTTCCATTTAAAACTTATTGATTTAAAAAAACGAATGCACATAAGTGGCAAATGGTCCGCAAAGCACTGCTTTCCCTGCCAAGATTTCAGCAGCCATTGTTAAGACTACCCTATCTTTTCCTGGAGACAGACAGTCCTCAGGCTGCTTTTCCTCTGCTTACCAGGTGGCAGGTGGCAAAGGCTGTGCTCACCACACCTCTGAACACACTGATCCTGCCCACTCTGGCGGCCTTTTCCCTGCAGCAACTGTCTGTCTCGTATCACAAATAGCACAGTGAGCCGGGAGAGTTAGAACCGACGCTGTTGTACTGAAAAGGAGAACAAGGCGTGGGGAAGTAAAGCAGCTTCCCCAGAGTCACATCACAGATCGGGTGCACCTGGCCCCTATGCAGGGTGAGCTGGGCTCCCAAGAGGCCACCCCAGCCACTGTAAGAAGCTAGACTCCAAAGATAAAATAAAATAAACACGAATACAGGCCGTGAGGTGTGTCAGTGTTCAGTGAACCTGATCGGCTTCCTTGGGAAACGAGCCGGACACTCTTTTGAATTGATGAAGTGGCCAAGCTTGCCGTTTACTCACTTCCCTTCCTCGGCCCTCCCACCTTCCTGGTGTCTCCTGTTCCTCAGGGCTTCCCTGAATTCCCGCTCCCTGTTTTGGGTGCCTGATCCCACACTTGGTCACATTCCACACCAGGATCGATGGTGACACTGACTGATAACCACTTGAAACTTTTAATGGCTGCTTGCGAAGAGCGAGCGACACCGAGGTGTAACCACCGGCGGGAGCGTAAGCCTAGAGTGCCGTACGCTGAGCTCCTGTGTGTGGTGGTAGAGCCCCTTGGGTAATGGTCTCCTCTGCTTTGACTCTGGCCGTGCCCTTTAAAATAGTAAATATATTACTCCGAAAGACAAAACATGCTTTATGAAACACAAAACAAACAAAAGAAGAGCAAAGAGACATCTCAGATTCTTCCTACCTGGAGCCACTGAGGCGCTCCTTTGTGGGTTTTAGCTGTGTGTTTTGTCTCTACCCGTTGAGGCCCAGCAGCTCTTTGTGCACCCGACAGTCCCCTTGTCCTGTTCGTGAATGACTGTCCAAGCTGAGTTTCTTCAACTCAGCAGACGCCTTCAGACACCTTCATTCTTGCTTTGCTCCTCCAGCCTGGCGGGTGGAGCTGTGGTCCTGTAGGATTGCTCCCTCCCTGGTTCCCTCGCTCAGCTCCGAATTACGCATCTCATTTGACTAACCTAACCCTCATAGCTGCCTTCTCTGTTCTCTTCCCTCTTCACAGCTCTTTGCGATCTTTGCCTTTGCAACATGCGGTGGCTACTCTGGAGGCCTGCGGCTGAGTGTGGACTGTGCCAACAAGACAGAAAGTAACCTCAGCGTGGACATTGCCTTCGCCTACCCCTTCAGGTAGGGCATGCTGGTCCTGCTCTTGCCCTGCAAAGAGCATTTCCTTCCTCCTGCAGTTTCTCTGGGGCTTCTGGCTAAACGAGGGCTCTGCTTGCACCAGCATCGTTTGCAGAGTGCCTCCCACTACCCCACACTGGGGGCTTGTGACACACACCCGCAGGCCACAGCTCACTGGCCTCCAAAACCAAACCCAAACGTCTCCAAAATGTGACCCGCGACCAGGGGCTGTCTGTGGGGAGGCCTCAGTACCATCCCTCTCCCAAAACCGTTTCTCCAGCTTGAGGTTTCCCACAATCTCTCTGGATTTGGGTGTCACTTCTCGTTTCATATTGATCGTACAACTCTGCCCGATAATGTGTTTGATACATTAACATCACGTACTGCGTCGCGTCCAGTTGGCACTTGCTCTGCTTACTGTCCACCTGCCTAATCTCATTGAGTCCCCCCAACGGCCACTTACTAATGAGGAAACCGAGGCACGGTCCCATATGCCCACATTCCCTCAGCTGGTGAGAGGCAGAAGCAAGGTGTGAGCCCCTGGCTGAGCCTCTATTCGTATACTTAAATTGCTGGAAATAACTCTCTTGACATGCACAAAAGCCAGTACCCCATATGTGTTTGTGTCTTGTACGTGAAATGGTAGCTGGACAGCTACCAGGGTCATCCCCAACCTCACTTCTTGTGATTCTGATCCATGTGCCCAAAGTGGACTGAGTGAAGCCAATGTTCACATAGTTTACTTCTGTAAAGTTCTCCTATACTAGCCATCAAATAACTGGTATGATTTTCAAAAACAACTTTTCATGAATTACTTTGGCACGCTATTTTACTCGCCTGTTCACTTCAATTGACAGATATTCACTGAGTCTTGCATTGTATCGTGCATGGTCCTGGCTCTGGAATTGAGGAAAAAATTAAAGCTGGCTGCTACAAACTTTTTCAACAGGTTAAATTCAGTGTTGTCTGAAAATATTTTCACAGACTCTTAGATACCTAATACTAGTAAAAAGATAGTAAAGGGGGAAGAGAAAGCAAAAGAATGGAGGCTAGGAGGAAGAAATTAAAAATTATGATCAAGAAATACTTTTTAGTGTTTTGACTTTCTGACACACACTTTGAATCGCCAAGAGAGAGACATTGTTTGCCAAATACGCCTGACCATAGAAACTGCATATCTGAAAGATTAGCCTCTCCTGGATGGTGCCTTGAATATATCACTCCAGTGAGCTTTTCTAGCCTGAAGCAGAGGTGTCCTACTGACAGGTGATGACTCACAGGAGTGCCCTCTACCCTCATACCTGACTGGTTCTCAGGAGCCGAGCAGACAAACACTCCTGCTCATGTGGTCTCCTAACTAATAAACGGGTACAAACTCAGACACATGGAGCATGTTGCCCTTGGCAGTTAGGTAAAAATAGCCAAGCCATGCTGGTGGAGATGGGCATCGAGTGCCCGATGCTTCAGAAAGATTTGGACCCCTGGGCTTCCAGATGAGGGGCCACCTCAGCCTCTCATGGATCTGACTGCCCAGACCAGGAGCCCAGACACACAGGTGGCCAGATGCGGCTGGGATACTCACGCCGTGTGTGAGATGCTGGCTCTGCTGGGTGTGGCAGTGGTTGCCCACCAGGAGAGAAGGTAAATCCAAAGCAACCCTTTCGGTTTGAAGAACAGGTCACTTGCACATTCATTTATCAGCTCAAAGTATTCTTCACCTCTCTCGGGCTAGAGGAGAGCAATCAAGAGAAGTGTCTGACAGCACCCGAGCGGGCAGGAGGAGAGCGGAGAGCAGGGTGCTGGTGAATTTCACACAGTCCATTCTGAGGGTACAGTTAGAGGCGGCTCTTCAGGCAGACAGTTTCCATTGTGGGGCTCTACAAAGTCTTAGCATTGGCTCAGTGAAGGCAGGCTGGGACGTGTTTTGTGTACTGTGTAAATAAAACAGCCCATTCATGTAAGAGAGTTTTGCCTGTGTTCTGAAGTAAAGACACTCAGCTCTTGGTCTCAGTAGCACAGCTTTCCCCCAGACGAGGAGCCCATGTGTAGGAGCGGTGAGGCCCTGGGAAAACTAAGTGGGGGAGGCCTGGAGCAGGGCTCACCCTCCTGGTCTCTGCTCACCTCACACAGAGCCCACCCTGCCCTGCAGCCTGGGGTCTTCGGGACTCCAGTCTCCCAGACACAATTTTACATGCTCCGTTGTAGAGGAAAGAAACCCTTTACCACTTTGCTAACCACTTCTCCACAGCATTTACCATGTAGAGTTAAGGCACAGGATTAGTCCATAACGTTCCACAGAACGTCTTACTTTCCTTCCAGAAATGTCTGTCTAGGGTTTTTGTACATAAAGTCCCAGAGAGGCTCAATCTTACAAGAGCTTCAGTTTCAGCTTTGGATGCTTTAATACATCTCATTATCCTGTTGGAAAGACCCCAGTGATGAGCTAGAGGAGATCGTGAAGGAACGTGGTTAGAGGAAGCTGGGTCAGCAAGATGCTGACAGTGTAGATCATTTAAAATTTGTTTTCTCCTCAGACTTCATGTGCCAAAGATGGGATCGTAACCCCAGATAGAGTCAGAATGTTCAGCAGCTTTTAACTCTTCAGTTTATTGCAAACACAAGGGAGACAATAACTCAAATGCCAAGTTACTTGAACAAAAACAATTATTTAGTAACTGACAAATCAAAGGCAGCTACTTAAATATCAGAAAAATATTTCAGGTTGTAAGATAACCTCAGCTAGGAAACTTTAGATAATTAATAATACTCAAGTGCAGTATCTAATAAATATGCCAAAAGTGCATTCGTTCCTTCACACTACCATATGTGTACTTCTGGATCATATCAGAACTGGCTTTCAGCAATGTATCATTTTCTGATAGAAATAAAATAGTTACCACCTGACCTTCCTTTTGATTTGTGATCGAAATCAGCAGGTAGCTTGGAACTAGCTTCTCATCTACCAGAATGCTACCCTGGTGTGGAACTGGCTGGATGCTGGGCCTAGACTCATATCTGTAGCTCTGCCTTGCACAGTGTGCTTTGCACAGTGAGAAGTAGATCTCTCCTTTGAACCTACGTGAGAGAGTTGTAGAGAGCCTGCCAGAGGACGGTCAGTACTTTGTGCTAAAACTTAAATATTTGCACAGTAAATATTGTGCATTTAAGTGTCTGGGAACAGAATTAGGAAGAAGCAGTTAAGTTGGAGCACATCCGTGAAATGTGCTAGGCAGCCGTTACAGGGCATTTGCTCAGATAAATGTGAAGGCATGTGAACCATCCCGCTCGACCACAAGACTGCACATACAGCTAAGGCGGACGTGTGCAACCTCACGCTGGTTGGCTGGAGCAGACGCTGCCAGGGCTGGACACGCCCCGGTGCCCGGCCCCTCCCCTCCAGGCCTACCCGAGTGCAGGCCGGGTCTGTTTCCCTCAGGTGTGCTGCTCCAGCCGCAGAACTTGTCTGGCCAATGGGCAGGACAGGCAGGAAGCGCCGGGAGTTTGTGTCTCCCAGAGCCGCCCTCATTCCGTGACCCCTGTTGCCTGCGAGGGGGCAGCTCGGCCCGAGGTGAGGCCGCACTTGGCACGGTCGGCCAGCTCTTGGAGCCCACAGGACTGTGCCACTGGCCACGGAAACCTGAGCACAGCCTCTTACTCTTCCTCCTTTCCTCCCCACTTTGTGCTCTTAGTGTCAGGACGGAGTTGTGCTCAAGTCTTGACCTCAGGCTCTTCTTTAAGACCCTGGTGTTGCCTGGGAAGCTGTCGCCCCTGGAGAAGCCGGCCGAGTCGATAAACCGATGTGTCGTCAGTCGTCAGTCGAGCAGATCCCTATTTCTCACACTCTGGAATCATGTTATGTATATATTGTTCTTGGAAAAACAAAATCAAAACTGAGAAAACAGGTCAGCTGGGTGTTGTTGAGCAGAAGGGATCCCTGCTGCTGCTCCTCCTCTTTGCGACAAAGCCGTATTACCTGCCTCACAGCCCTGTTGTGAGTATTAGGTGCATGCAGAGTGGTTTTTTAGTACATTATTTTGTTTCATAAACATTTTTCACAAATGTGAACTAGCGACAAGTGACCCTTATTGTCATATTTTTCCTTAACCCTCTCCCTACTGACCAGCAAGCATTAGGTGCTGTACCCCTTTAACTCCCGTTAACCTGCTTCTATGTTTTCAGTGTGTATTTAGTGGCCCTGGGTGTGTATTTCTGTCATCAAGCCTAATTCTCCTTCTCTGATTAAACCCAGGGGGATGAAGCCCTCCCGAGGAGACAGGTGGAGAGCTCAGGCACTGCTGGGAGCTCTGGGAGGTGTCTGTCACGGGGATGGTGGCTCTGAAACAGAATTCCGGGAGGGGAGTGCAAGCTGGGGTGCTCAGCTGGGTGCTGCCCACTGTGACTCTGGCCCTCATTCCTGGGGTTAGCACAAGCAGACACCAGGAGGGCTGTAGGGCTGGGCCATTGCCTAGCAAGGCAGCTCTGTGGGCTGGAGGCAGGGAGGATCCCTCTCCCTACAAGTCACTCCGGAGCACAGTGATGATCAACATTTTTTTCTTACCTTAAGGGCCAATTTGGGGGACATAAATTGCTAAGGAATGCAGTTTTTATATCTTATGTTCAGGAAGTGTTGCATTTGCAATTACAGTTAAGCATTTACTTACGGTTTCTCATTACCAAAAAATTCACTCTTTTCTGCTACAATTTCAGTTTGTCATTTCCGTGTGGTGTGGCCCCAAAGGGCCGCGGCAGCCTAGCAGATGGGAGTGGTATTGCATCCAGCCTGGTAGAACTGCCCTGAAGAATGCGGGGCCCATCACCTTCAGGGGCCTCAGTTCCCTTATAAAAGAGAAACAATAATAGTTTCTTCCTCACAGTCTGAAGAGACTGTTTACTTAGATAACGCAAGCTAATCGTGTAGGACAGAACCTGACAAATACCAAGTGTCTCCTGAATTGTCTTGTTGTGTAGCTGTTGTTATTAGGTTCAGGGATAGGAGGCCATTC